CATTGTAATACCCGTTCACCTCCCCGATCACCTTGTCCAACAGGGGCACTTTGGTCAATCCCACCGACCGGCTCATCCCGTTCCACATCTCCGCCACCTCCTTCTCCCCCTTCAAATGGTTCACAATAATCCCCCGACCGCAAAGCATCCTAACATCCTCCTCCGTGTCGACTATCCCGTTCATAAGCTCCATGAAGCGCGTCAGCACAAGCGGGCCCTGGGCGCACGCCTCGTAGGCAACCAAGTTCCTTAAGACAACCTCGGAATTCACGTCCAGCTCGATGACCGGAATGTAGAAAGTTTTCGTTTTCGAGTCGAAGTTGATTCCCATTATGCCCTTGTCTGTCGGCATGAACTGTACACCAATTCCAAAAAGTTGCGACACGGACGGGATCGTGATCTCTTCCAACAACGGCGGCTTGTCGTTATTGTTGTTGTTGTTGTCTGAGCTTGATTTCTCGTCTTCTTTCTTCTCTTTGTCCAAAGCTCCGAACGCGCTTTCTATAGGGCCTTTCAACATTTTCACGATCGGGATTTTGGTGAGGATTGTCCAAGGCAATTTGACAACAACTTTTAAAGGCTTCGAGACGAGTATTCTCTTGATCCAGTCCAATGGCCCTGCTTTTAAGGAGGATAGAAAATGCCATATCACGTCGATAATCTTGCTTACGTGGCCAGGCTCCGAAAACGAGTCCGTTTTCGAAAAATCTTCATCGTCGTGAATCTCGATTATTTCAGAGGGTCCTGCCTCGAATTGGGGCACGATCAACCGGTACAAAAAGTCTAGCAAGTGCGCGCACTCTTTGACCTCGATTTTTCGCGTGCCGTCCGTTTTGAACGGCAAGACCTCGTCGCCGAGCCCGATTAACATGTCGAGAAGCAATTTATCCGCGATGTCTAGGGACGAGAATCGGAACTCCAAAAGCATTCGCATCACAAACAACGGGATTTGGTTCTCGAGCATCACGATATCTCTAAGAATGGCGTTGTTCGCGTTTTTGTTGGTCGATAAATCGGTCAAACGAGACAGGGTCGATTGGTTTTTGGTCAGGACCTTTCCCATTTTCAATCCACAGACCTGAAAAAACTCGAGCAGGAAACACGCGTCCACGGCCATCATCCAGGCCAGCGCCTCGGACCCGAAGCCCACGGGCCTGTGGTATCCGGCCCGAATCCGGAGCTCGAAGTTGACGAGATGGTCGACTATGTCCTGGAGCTTGGAGTCCTGGAGCTCCCTCTGGGTTCTTTTGGCGGCGGCCACTTTGTACCTCTCCATGTCGTACACTTCGGCCCGAAAATGGTGGTACGGGCCGATCGCGACTTCTTGCGGGATGTAAGACTCCGGGCTGCACATCATCATGGCTTTCGGGACACCGAATATTGTGATTGGGATTTCGGTTTCTTCCTCTAGCTCGTCGTCTAGGTGTTTGCGGATCTGGTGGACCCATTTATGCTCGTCGAAATGGGGACCAAAGCCCGAAACAATGTCCATTTTGAAGAAAGACATGGGCTGGGCTGGAAGCTTACCTTGTGAAGTGTTTAGTACAGCAGAAATGAAGTTTTAGTTAGACAGAGGCTTATGATATTTTTTGAGTGACAGGTTACTCAATTGGGTGCCATTTAAACCTTTATCACTTAATAATTTATGTTAGATGGTGAATGCAATTTGATTGAGTTTGTAATTCAATGAACATGTGTTTCATGCAATACGAGATGTGAGTGTGACCAATCAGGAATTTAATAGCTTTTCTTGTTGTGGGTTCGGTTCACACATATGATAGATTGTGATTTGCTTATTGAAGCTCTTAATGTACATCAATATTATTATTATTATTATTATTATTATTATTATTATTATTATTATTATTATTATTATTATTATTATTATATTATTATTATTATTATTATTATTATTATTATTATTATTATTATTTTGTATTAAATGAATAGTCTACTATTATATATATTATATACATAAATCAAAATTATATAAAATAATATTGCTAAGGCTGCAAGCTCCCCGGTGAAGTGTTTAGAACAGAACAATTGAAATTTCAGTGAGGCAGAGGCTTATAATCATTTTTTGAATGGTGACGGGAAGAAATTTCGTAGAGCCTGCGGACTGCTAATTCATAGTCATTCATAACTTGATGTACTGGCTCACATTCAGTATATTTATGATAAGAAACATGTCAATACACCGTTTGTAAATAATTACGGACGGTTCCGTCATTCGACGAATCCAGACTGTGGTGATTGATTACTCAATTGACCGCAATTAAAACCTTATTTCATGTTACATGGTGGAAACGATTTGATTGAGAGAGTTAGGTGAAACGTTATTAGAATTAACTGTACGAGAAAGGACCCATTTAGAAAACTAATGGTGGTGGTGAAGTATGCTAGCTTTTGTTGTGGTATAAATGATTGTGATTTGCTTGAAGCCTTTAATTTACATATGTTAAGGTTCTGTTACGGAACCATTCCGTAGGAGTTTGTAACCGTTAGATCATCATGTAACCGTCAGAGATAGTTGATCTAGCGGTTAGAGATCATCATGTAACCGTCGTCGGAGATAGTTAATAGATATGTTATTTTGTTTATCAGTACTGTTTCCAAAAGGAAATGTGTGATGGTTTCATTATTATTTAGATTTCTTTATGTAGGGAAAAGGCAATGATAATGGAAATAGTGCTTCCAAATCCAGTCGGCCATGTTCTTCTATTACATTAGTGGGAACTGGGAGCACATGTCCATGTTTGATCATATTTATTCTCATCATAGTAATAGTTCATACATGGGCTTGCCATTTTTCACCTAAGTAATTTATTGGGAAATTTTTACCCCTCCCACTAGATATTAAAATATTTTTAAATTTACCTTAAGGAAAAAAGTATTTTCATCTATACCTAAAACTGCTATTTTATTTAATAGATTGCATCCAATCGTGATTTTCCATTCAGTTACCTTGATTTCCGCCACAACCAGGGGAAAAAAAACATGATCTTCAATTCAAATTCGAGTCAGTCCCTATTTTCACGCAACTTGTACATTGTAATTCAAGCAGCCGCTAGGTAGTATATTTTGAGTTTATGTTAGTATATGTCCAGTGTATGTTGCAATATTATAATTCACGCAGCCGCCAGGTGGTATATTTTGAGTTTATGTTAGTACATATTCAGTATATGTGCAATAAAAAATAAGTCTTCCACAAAAAAATTATATATATATATAAATATATATATATATTTTTACTTTTATACACAAAAGTATATAGAAACATATAATAACATTTACTTATATTCCATATACGAACAAATCTTCTAATATGTTGAACATATATTTAACATATACTCCATATACACACAACATATACTGAACAATAAAAAATTATGCCTTCTTTTTCTTTTACTTGAAATATACGCAAAAATATACTGAAAAAACGAGGACATGAAATTTTATACCGAAAAAAATATGTCTTCTAATATACCGAAATTTTGGGGGGTAATTATTACCTGACATACACAAAAAATATACTTCAAAAATACTAAAAATGTGTAACATGTACAGAAAGCCAGTGACAAAGTATATAGCATAGAAAGAGAAAAGATACTTGGATAGAGAGAAAAGTTACCTCAGATATACCCACAAGATAACCAGATAACCAGAGAAAAGTTACTTCAGATATACTCGGATATACCCAACATATAACTCAAGAAAAAAAAAAAGGAATTATTAAACAGATAACCAGAGAAATTACTTCGGATATACTCGGATATACCAAACATATACACAACTCTGTTTTGTAAACGCAACATATATCATCATATACGCAAATGGTAATGATGGTATATGTATTGTATATATTTTCCATGATTTTACTAAACATAAACCATACATATACCGAAAATGTACTGAATATAAACCATATATATAACGTAAAAAACAATACATATAAAGTAGCTCTTATATTATAAAGAACATATACTCCATATATACAAATCATATACCCCAATCTTTTGAAAAATAAACGGTTTTTACAAAGTGAAAAAGGCAAAAAAAATTCACAACCAGAGATCTTTATAATCCCCAAAAGTCGGCTGAAAATTAAAATCAATAGTTCAATACACGGTTAATCTGGTCGTCGGGCCGGGTCTGCTCTCGTTGGTCGAACGTGGTTCATCTTTGATGTTTTTTCCGGTCACGAAGGAGATCTCTCGGTGAATATGGAGACCCGTCGACGGCCATGGCTGTAGGCGGTTGATGGGCGGTCGCCGGCGGCTGCACGGCGAACTGAGGCACGCGATGGCGGCGATTTCTCGACGACTGAAGGTGTGCGACGGGCAGACATCGAGCCTGGTTGTTGAGGTTCCGGGTCCATTCGGCGATCCGACCTAGCTTCTCAGATTCGGATCCGGCCTGGTTGTTGGATTGTCTCGATGAGGATGAGGGATTTTAGTTTTGGCCATTGAAGCTTGAATTTGGGAGAAGTTCTGGAGAGGTTTTGCAGATTGATACGGGACGTGGTGATATTGGCAGGATGTTTTGAATTATTTTGTTCCACTTTTTTAGGTAAGTGAATCTTGAGTATCTAATTAGCATTTAAAAGAGTTAATAATGGATAATAGAGTGTATTAGGTATAATTGAAAATTTTTTACTTTGTTTAGGTAATTTTAAAAATAAAAATATAATGAGTCCAAAAGTGTTATACAAATTAAGTATATTAGTATGGGATGCAATTTCCTCTAATTTATTCTCGTTCACTTTAAAAAAAGATGGAACTCAAAAGGAAATTAGAGAAATGTAAGACTGAGCCTCAAGGTTTGATTAAATTAAATTTGGCAACCATAATGTTCTAATCCTTTGAGGCTGCCATCTAATTTGCAGGTCCATATGGTACTATGGAGTCTGGACACAACCCCACACTCTATTCTTTTGTGACCAGTGACTGAAACAAAACAACTTCATGGAACTTGCTGACACAACCGACCCATTCACTTCACGTCCCACCCGGCCCCACAACTTCGATCGGGAAGAACCTGCTGCAGCTGTACACCTGGCAGAACGACTGCAGAGCCGCCAGCAGCAAAAGCACGAGCGCCGCAAGGAACGTAAGCACCCTCCACGAACCGAACACATACCTTCTCATGAACTTCCCCGCCCTCACCCTCCATCTCCCGTTATAGTACCTATTCACGTCCCCAATCACCTTATCCAGGGACGCCACTCTCGTCAGCCTAATTGACCGGCTCATCCCATTCCACAGGTCCGCCACCTCCCTCTCACTCTTCAGACGGTTCACAATCACCCCACTCCGGCACAGTATCCCCGCGTCCTCCTCCGTGTCCACAATCCCGTTCATCAGCTCCACAAACCTTGTCAGCACCAGCGGGCCCCACACACAGCACGCCTCGTACGCCACCAGGTTCCTCAGCACCACCCCTGAGTTCACGTCCAGCTCCACCGCCGGGATCGTGAACGTCATCGTCGCCTCGTCGAACCTCAATCCCGATATGCCCCCGTCGGCCGCCGCCACGAACCGCACCCCGATACTCGACAGCTGCGAGACCGACGGGATCGTGATCTCGTCAAGCGACGGGGCCTTGTGGATATCATCGTCCTTTTTCGGCTTATTACTGCTTTCTTCGTCCTCAGCCCGCCATAGGCTGACGAACATGTTCTCAACTGGATCCTTCACCATGTTGACGATCGGGATTTTGGAGATGATCGTCCACGGAAGCTTCACGACGAGCTGGACCGGCCGGGAGCTCCATGTTCTCTTGATCCACGCCGCGGGCCCCACGGCGGAGCCTGAGTTCTGCTCCCACGCGTCCCCGAACATCTCACGCAGGTTGCTCGGCTTCGAGAAGCTGCCACCTGTCGGGGAGAACGAACGACCATTGTTCTCTTCCTCCTCCCCTGATCCGTCAATTTCGACAGTCGACTCGGATTTTGGGTTCTCCTCCAATTTGGGCACGACGCGGCGGTATAGAAAATCGAGCAGATGCGGGCAGTCCTTGATTTCGATGTCGCGGCGCGACCCGCCTGCCGTTCTGAACGGCGAGATCTCGTTGGCGAGCGAGATTAGCATGGCGGCGAGCAATTGATCAGCCGTGTCGAGAGAAGAAAACTGGAGCTCCAAGAGAAGTCTCAATACGAACAACGGGATTTGGTTCTCGAGCATGACTATGTCGCGGAGAATGGCGTTGTGGGCCGTCTTGTTGCCCGACAGATGAATCAAGTGGGACAGTCTGGATGGGGTTTTGGCGAGGACCTTGCCTTTCTTGACCCCGCAGACCTGAAAAAACTCGAGCAGGAAGCACGCGTCCACAGCCATCATCCAGGCGAGAGTTTCCGGGCCGAGGTTCACGGGGCGGTGGTAGTTGGCCCGGACGCGGAGATCTAGCCGAAGGAGGTGGTCGACGACATCCTGGAGACGGATGCTCGGGAGCTCAATTTTGTTTCGTTTGGCGGCGGCCACTTTGTACCGCTCCATGTCGTAGACTTCAGGCCGGAAGTGGTGGTACGGGCCGATGGCAACCTGTTGTGGGATGTACGAGTCCGGGCTGCACTGCATCAGGGGTCTCGGAACACTGAATATAGTGATTGGGATGCGGGCCGAGTCAGCTTCGAGCTCTTCATCTAGAGTGTGTTGGATGTGTTTGACCCACTGATGCTCGTCGAAGTTCGAGCTCAAGCTTGTTAGCAGGCTTGGTTCGAAAAATGACATGCTCGTCTAGCGTTTTATTTATTTATGTTGCACACGAAATTGGAGAAACTGTGTGCTTTTTCTCCAATTCTCAGATGCCATATATAAGCTGTGCTCAGACTTTGCTTCAAGAAATAGGGAAGTGAGAGAGAAATAAATAAAATGGCATGTTTTACACAAGGTTAACTTAATTGAATATTGAAGAATAAATATTTTAATGGAAGTGAATTCTGGCAGTCTTCGTTCTTATCGTGTTGGCTGCATACATACGTTTAGATGGAGGCAGACAACCTGAAATCATGATCAATATATTATTTTCTCCAATTTTTTGTATCATGGAGAGTTGGGTCAGATAGAATATTTTAAATGAAAATAAAGATACTACATATCACAAGAATCTACCATTTTTGACATTGCCAGGGATTACCAGGTTGGTCAGCCCAGTATACTGTATATATGGACCCCTTAACTCGTATATATTATGACTAAAAACACTAAATTAGTGAAAAAAAAATAAAAAAATTACACAAATATTGATTTTGGAACATGAAAAAAACAAAGACAAGCTAAGCTGGCTGTTAAATTGGTTTCTGTATTGAAATATTATAATACTGTGCTGACTAATCCTTACCTAATCCTAATCAAATATGATGAGTTATTATCATATTGATTGTGAATAAACTAATGCCACTGGACAATTAGTGACACTACTAAAATGCTAAGGTTCATAATCAACGACAGATAATTGGAGAGAAGAAATGTACGTTGTGCCGATTGTCATACTTTGAGAACAAACAAAGCTATTTTAGATCAATTGTCATATTTTTCCGAAAACTACACAAAAGCAGTTATCGACATGTACTTCACATTACAGAGAAAGAAGTATGTCACACGAAGTCACAGTAGTTTGTTTTATGATTGAAAATAAAAATAAAATAAATGCTATGAGAATAAATTTAAGGCCATACATACCTCCAGTCCCCTCATTCGATTTATGAAGAAGAAATTTCACTATCCCGCGGATTGAATCAACATTAGCAGCCTTGTTAGAGATTATTATTTGAGTTGAGCATTGTTTATCTCTCATGGTTCAGCTGAGCATGACCACTTTTGTATCTTCTTTAGCAACACTCTCGGTCGATCATCACCTTCATTTAGAGCAAATATTGATCTATGCACTTTAAGCTCGGCCCCTGGATAAAAAAAAACCAAAAAAAAGTACTGTAACCAAGAGAATTTACAGTCTACCTCAACTCTAAGTGAGTTAGCCAACTATATTGGGCAATAACACATGATTTCAAATTCTTCAGCATTATCAGACTATAGAAGTATTGTCAAAGACATATATAATTAGGGAGGTCTGGGAGGGTTGGCCAAGATTACCCAGAGAGTTGGGGCACTCACCAGGGAAAAAATTTGTATGTAATTTTGAAAACTACAGAAACCATTACGCTTGGTTTTGGTTTCATAGAATAAACTTCTGCCCAAGCGAATAATGGCCGTAACATAATTATCCATGGCAGCAAAAATTGCAATATAAATCCTCAAGACGAAAACTTTGACCAGTCGTAGCTTTCTGAGATATTGTCGAAATATACAAATGACATTAGCAATTCTCATTAGCTCCATTAATGACAGTAGGTGCAAACTGTAAAGGTGAATGTAACCTTAAGGGTGGTCATACTACAGAGGATTGTAGAATATATATAAAAAAAACAGAAGTTTAAATTTGTAACAACAAAATATAATAATGTTCAGTTGAAAATCTTATGCTACAGCAGATGACAGATTTCACAAAACTTCAAAACAAGTATTTTTCCAGGTTATGTTATTTCTTTTTCTTAGAAACAAAATACAAATGCCCAAGGCAGATACCCAATAAATCTGTCAATAAATGAACAACACACACACCAAAACAGTAAATTAGTCAGAAAGCAGCACCATACAAACAAGCATATTAGTCAAACTTACCAAGCACATGTTACCCATTAAGATACTGCATTCATTGCAACCATAACTTTAAGTTTACCGTCCGAATTTGAGTGCAACATTTCGAGTCTTGTCAACCATATAAACCATGATACAAAAATCATCCATTTTCACCTCTCTCACCATCCACATTAGCCCGTAACTCAGCTCTCGGCTTAGCCGAAAGCCCCTTCGCCAACATTTCATCCTCATATTTACGTGCCGTATCCACCAAACCTTTCTGCACCAAAGCATCAATCAAAGCATTATACGCAAACTCATCTGGGCCCAGCCCATGCTCTTCCATTTTCTTCCACATGAGTAAAACGGGCCTGAGGAAACCCCACCTCCCGAACTTCCTCATGAGCATCACATACGTGTCCATCCTCGGGCGGACCCCTCTCTCCAACATCCCATCAAACAGTTTCAAAATCTCTCGGGGCTTTTCAAGGCTAGTGAAAAAGCAATGGTAGGTGACTATATTCGGCTCACAACCCTTTTTGATCATTAGATCAAACACCTTATGTGCCTCTCTGTACCTACCGCTATCACACAAGAGCTTAATAATTGTGTTGAATGTTACAACATTTGGCTGGCAGCCTAATTCAATCATCTCTTTGTAAAGCCTCATTGACACATCAACCCCCTCGTAAAGCCCGAGTGCCCGTATGACCGTGTTGTACGCCACCACGTCTAATCGGATACCCTTCTTCTTCATCTCCTTGTACAATTTCACGGCCTTCCAAGGTTTCCTGCACTTGCACTGAATGTCCATGTATATCGAGTATGAATACAAGTCCTTCTTCACGCCCTTCTTATCCATCTCGTCCCAAAACTCCCTGCATTTTCTCCACCACTCCATTTTAAACCAGCCACGCAAAATCATATTGTATATTTTCGTACTTTCTACATTAAAATTCGAGATATCAACGCCATGTTCGTCAGCCCAATTTTTCTTAAAGCACAAATCTTCAGCTTCAATCACGTGCCTGTATTCGCACAGAGCATCGATCAGGTTTGAGAAAGATGTTTCGTCCCTCAAACTGTACTCATCCAGTTTGCAGAAAGCATCAATGGCTTCTTTAACAAGATGGGCAGATGCATAGCGCTTGAACAACACGCGGAAAGTCGTGTGATCAGGCGAAGAATGCGGATTACTTCTCGCCTTTTCAATTAGATTCCAGGCGGCATCGAATTCGAAGAACTTACCGAGAATGTCGATCATACGGTTGAGCGTCTGAGTGGTGTGCCGAAACCCGCACTGGGTCTCGGCCCAGTTGAAGAACTCCAATGCCAGCTTCCAGTCATTGGCGTAGCAATTGAGTGTTTCGACAACTGCAGCGGGTTGGAAATCCGGGTAATCGGAGCGGGTCAATGACCGAATGGCCACGAGATCGGGTTTCGGATGGTTTGGATTGGGAATTGAGGCGGGCTTGGGAAGCAATCGAGGGCTTCTGTCAGTGGTGGTATTGTGAAAGAGAAGAACTTGAAGGTGAAGGGAAATGATAGATTGACGCGAGCGGAGATAGTGGAATTTGGAGGCGAATGAAGAAAGCATGATTTTTTGGTGAATAATTTGATGAACTTGAGGGTTTGCAGGCAGTTCACGTCGTCGTCTCCAACCGCTCCACTCTCCAGGCGAGCTTCAGCCTTCGACCTTGCATTTTTCACCCTGTATTTCACGAAATGGCAGGTTGCACCCAAATTATTTTGGGAAAATTGCACCAAATCCTCGCGTTTTATTGGAAAATGCATAAAATGTGCATATGACTTCTTTGTAGTTTTTAGTCTGAGTATGGGGTAAATCTCGATTTCGGTCGTGTTGATCGACTCACACAAGAAAGGATAATAAATATTTTAAACACTCTACTCGCAATTTGATAATTGGATTAAACTAAAGAACACAACTTTAAATAAAATGAAAGCGAGAAGCAAACTTTATCGCAAACAATTCACAAAGAAAAAGAAAATAGAGAGAAAAATAACAAGGTACCTTAAGATCTGGGATAGAAAAAAAGCACTTTGAAGTTCGAGAACATGCAATCAAGCAATCATCACTCGCGAATAGATTAATCGAGCTCTCAATCAATTCCCGCTCACACAATTAACAACAAAATCACATAATCTCTAGTCTACGAGGATGAATGCATATTCTTCTCATGAAAGCTCCTACTTTTACCTTAGAAAAATCCAGTAAGTAAAGACAAAAAAAATTGTGAGATCTTGGACCATCAACTAAGTCTCCAATTGGACCTTAAATGAAGTCTCCAAGTCTCTAATGCATCAACGAGAAGAAGTAAGAGAAGAAAAAACAAATACTAAGAAGAAAAATCTTGCAAATGATGAATTCTCCAAAAAAACACAAAGCACTAAGTTTATTTATAGTCATATCTCAAACACACACTAAAACACACACACTTACTAAACAACACCCGCGAAGTAGCCAAAATGTGTCGCGGGGTCACGAGTGCACGGCCTTGGACACTCGCGTGTTAGCAGGCTGGTCCGCTGGCTGGAAGGCGCGCGAATGCGGAGTGGTGCGCGGATCATAAGGGCACAGGCGCGCGGAGGCGTGCGAGCGCGGGCGTGCACGGGAAATGCACGAGGTCTCATAAGCGCGGGTTGCGGTAGGGCTCAAGAGCACCGGGTGTTAATCGGGCCGATTGGCCGAGAACTCTCCAACCACTTTTCTGGTGATTTTTCTGCATCTTTCCGATGATTTTCTAACAACTCCCCGGAATGTAGATTTCCTACAAAATAAAAGATAAAAAGAGAAATAAAAAGTACAAGACACTAAAATGACACCAAAAATATAAAAAAAATGAGCAAAATGACTAAATGAACTAGGAATAACCTAAAAAAAACTAAAATGAAAACAAATAAAATACTTAAAAAAAAACACACAAAATAACAACAAAAATATACAAAACATTACCCCCTCGTGTTTCGAAGTCGACGGCTCACGATCCTCCTTTTGTCCTTTGGTGCAAACATTGTTAATTATTTTCTACACTGCTCGTTATGCCCTTCTTATTTGAATTGACTCACACTCACTCTGCTACAGAAAAGAAAACTCCAATTACAAAGAACACTCGAGCACATCTTAAATTTATTGCCCAAATCAAACAAAATGTACTAAATCGTAATGAGATTTCAACTTTAGGTCGATGACGGCTTCTGAATAGCTTTTAATATGTCAAAGAAGAATTGACGCGTTAATTATAGTCAGCGACAAATTAGGTTTTCCGTTTATTGATCTCATCTAAGGTATTTTCACAATTTAGTCTTCCTGACTTTTACTAGTTTGCTTATTTATAGATTGCTTATTTATGGTTGAACTTTTCAAGCTTGTTTGTTGAATGCACATATGAGATCAAAGTTTGTATTTTTATGTTGATTTTGTAATTTTGTTTGTCATACAAATTAGGATTGTATGTCATACAGATTAAGGTTATTTATGCTAATTGTCCTTATGTGAAATGCAGGTGAACTAACAATATATAATGTGTTTTTATTGTTTTTATATATGTTGTGGTCTCCTTTTTCTGAAATCATGTGTGTATTTTTTAATTTTTATTTTATATTTGTATAACTTGTGGTTGTTAATGTTTTAAGGGCAACAGTTGAATACTTGAATTGAATCAACAATATATAGTGTGTATTTTTATTTGTACATCTTGTGGTCCATTTTGTTTTATATTCCATCGCCACTATATTAACCAATTGAATTAATTATTTTATTTTTGTTTTCATGTAGGATGGTTGTACGGTTGGAGGAAATGTCTAAGTGAAAAATGATGATATGTGTATCAAACGATTAATTATGTGTATCATGAGGTTGAGACTACATATTTAATTTTAGTAAAACGGAAAATTTTAGCATCTTGTAGTCCATTTTGTTTTATATTCCATCGCCACTACTATATTAACCAATTTTAGCATTTGAAATTCGTTCACAAGACATATTATCATTTCGTTTTAAATGAGACTACAAGAATATATTTCCTACTGAGTTCTGCTGACGTTCTGTCTCGTATTTTTTG